TATATATATATAAATGAACGCGTTTACGTTTCGACCCTTTACAAATCGAGAATAAAAGATTCTTTCTAAAATCTTCATTATCTTTGAAAATAATATCTTAATTAAGAAAACGATTGAAATAATAACGAATTATAATAGTACCAGATGAAGAATTTATTTTACACTATAGTGCAACTTTCGAATTCAATGTAATACACGAAATGAAAATGAACTTCGGTTTGTAAAGAGATTTCTTTTTTTCGAATCTTTTTTTATTATTTAATCGTAACTCTATAGTTTCTTGATCATATCCATTCTTTATATTTTTCATTGTCCTTTCTTTAGAACAAATCATAATCACATTCGGGTATTACTATAGTCTCAGGAATATCTATGAGGTTCTTTTTAGGCTCGTTTGCGGAAAGAACAAAAAATATATATCCTGACAAAACGATTATCAATGCCCCCCCTCTTCTCCTACACGTAATACGTTATTATTATCTTATTTAGCATCGGTTTGATCATATTTATTATCGCTCGTTTTTAAGATCGTTTATTTTTTATAAGAATTTTTGATCTATAGCTGCATATTCGACAAAGAATTTTTGTCGTCATCGTGTTTTCTATATTTTATTTCTTGTTTTTTTTTTGCGCTCGTTCATCAATCATTCTAACGAGTATTAATATAATTTAATAAAGATACAATTATACATAGATATGTACTATATATGTATACAAGCATATATAGTACATATGCATATATAAATATACCATCTATAATATATAGATTTATATATTTCTATATTTTTTTTTCGCGTTCTCTTGCTAAAGCATCGTCATTTAATCGCGAGGTTCGTCGGATTAGTTAATACACAATAAATACAGCTACTGTTATCTATACGTATATGTAATATATATATAATCATTATAATAATATTATGCTTAACGCGAAGTATCAAACGAGATAAGGACTCTCAGTCTTGAATAATAAAACATCGAAAAAACAGTGGCCACTTTGAATGGGGAAATTGGAGAAATTTGAAAAAAAAAATCATCGAAAAATTATTCAGAGAAATGTAGTGATCGAACGTCACGCAACTTTCGCGTCCAATCTTTTTCGATTGACGGAAAAAGATTGATTTCTTGTTTTTTTTTCAGCCTCAGAATCTCAGTCATTGCTAATAATTAATTGGAAGGGTCGATGAAGCGGTATCTGTGTAATATGTATTTATGTTGTGTTTACGAGGGTCATGATACACTAAGTTTTTTCTCCCATTTTTCCCTTCCATTTTTTTTAATGGGAATGTGACAGATAAATCGACTCGAACTTAATAAAGCGGTCTTACGTTGGGATAATATGACGCATATGTACTTCACTTTTTTTTTATATATTATTACTCATGTAAGAATACGTGACATAAGCTCAAAATACGCGAATACGTTTAAGATTAATTACGAATAATATTGGAAAATATTAATGCACGCGTTTAAAATCTTACAAATTTTCATGATAGCAACTCGCTAATGCATTTCTCTTCACCAAATAAATATACTTTTGTATAAAGTTCTACGAGTACGTAGGAAGTTTCGTAGTTTTTATCACGATTGTCACGTAATTCAATTATCTTCAAAAAATAAAATATATATTATATTCATATATTTGTGTGTGGTCATGGTTATCGAAATATATGATAATGACCAATATAATATTGCAAATTATAATTCCAAATTTTGAAAAAGTCTTCGTGAATTTAACCGATTGATCAACGTGTGCATCGATAAAATCACAGAGTATTTCGGCATTGAAGAAATAATATTCGTTACTTACCTTCGCGTATTTTCAAGACCCTATGAATGTACATACGTTTAAAAGTAGTTGAAAGTGTGCACGATGTTACCTTGCCAGAATATACATACCTAAGTTATGTTGTACAGAAATTAGAAATTTAACAGGTTGATAAAACGGTATTATCACCAACGGGATCTTCGTATCTTCGAAGTTCAATCGATGGTTCGTTATTAATTCGAAAGAAATATTCACGTTCTTCCGATTGCATTCTACTGTTAGTGTGACTAGGTTCGAGCAAAATCCCAAACGATGATTTACATTTCAATCGCAATTATTCGACTTTATTGTAATCTTAATAAGAAAGACAATAAAGCGAAAAATCGCTAGAAATAACGCGAGGGAATACTCATAAATCGTTGAACGAATGAACGATCGATGAATTCTCGATAGTAGGCCAAAAATAATATTATAAGTCCGAGACCGATCGAAATCGACGAACGATTATCGAATCTAAAAATACATATACCCAATTATAATCCAATTAATCCGAAGAAAATAGTTTAAAGTTCCTCGGATAGAGCTATAGGTGCTCGAGAACCAGGTTTCATATCTTTGACACCGACTCCTATGTCGTCTACTGGTACCGGAGGGGCTAATTTCAGTTGATTCCCGTTCACCTTGATGTCATTTACGGAGTGAGAACGACCATGAGTTAATAGAGATTTTGTGGTAGTTTGGTTGGTACTGGTATTCGAATGCGAGCTAGCAACTGAGTTCGAGCTAGGACTCGACGCAGAATTCGTACAGTTGGTTGTTACGTTAGAACCAGAACTGGAACTGGAGTTGGTTTCTTGCGAGGTGCTCACGGAATGACCATTGGGATTAGGAATGGACTTGGATCGTGACTTCGCTTTGAGATTCGATGTTGAATTGTGATTACTTGGAATGATTGCAGTGATCTCATGATCGCTTTCTCGGACCTGTTCAATAGTTGAATCGGGAGAGGATGTCTTTGCTATTATCCCACTGGATTTAGTCGTGCCCGTGAGCGAAACTAACTGATTGGCCGATTGAGAACGCACGGCGTGTCCCCCTAACTTGTCCCTCAATGCCATCTGATAAGCTACCTCGAATGCTTGGCCCAGTGTTAGGATGACTTCGGTTGCTTGGTCCTGAAACAGAAGCGTGTCCTCTCGCTTTCACTGTTTAAAACATACACACATCTGTAGTACAGAGTGAAATGTAAACAAATATTTCAAACAGTTAAATCATTTTATCCCATTTAGATTACTGTAAGATTGTTGAGTATAGGGCGTAACGCGATATCTTTTATTACAAAGTTACTCGAATATCGTATGTTATGCATTTTAAAGAAAATTTGTTTACATTAAGTACTATATACGAATAAATAAGATATTTATGAACTTTGAATGAATATATCTCGATAACTATTGTTTCTAATGAATTTGTTGTTTACGATATTATTTTTCTCTCAAAAAGTATATTACAAAACAATTTTCAAATTAAATAAATATCTTATTATATATCTATAATATGCAATATAAATTTAGACAATCATCTTCTGCTGTTATTAAAAATTTGTAATATAATATAAAAGAACTAATAAATTTCGCATTGATGCTCTTCAAGTTCTTCACTAGTTCTAAGCTTTCAAGTTAGTTATGTAAAACTTATGGCTCGAGTTGGAATTTATTATACGAGCCGGAAACTTTAAAAGGTAGTATCGAAGATGTAGATGAACTCATACCAAAATCCAAGGGTATTTCAAACTTGCAAAACGCAAGGAACAAGCGTGAAGTTTCATTCATAGACAGTATAGGAAAGCTTCGAGACTACTCGAAAGTTTTGACCAAAGATCAAAGTATCAAACGTTACGAGCAGGTTTTGCCATGCGTAAGCCGCAACTTTGTTACCGAACAACTACGATCAATAATACTATAACAATATGATATAGGAACAATCAGAATCTATCTCTATTAAGCCGAGAAATCGGATAAAAGATCGTCTTCGATTGTGAACAATTTCGGTCGATTTTCGAATATTTCAAAACGAAATACATACAAACAAATAAATAAATATAACGTTATACAAATTTACCATTGTTGGCACGCAGAATACATGACAGAAGTGCGTGCGACTCGCGTGATCCTTAGTGATGTAGGCAAAATGTGTGAGATCGTCGGCATCCTGACAAGCACAGTGAATGTTGCGTATCTCATGTTCGCATATCGGCTCCTATTAAATCCACAAATTTAAAAAAAAATAAAAATAATGTATGTAAAAAATGATCACACATAGCTCGTTTTAAATTCTAAGGTTCTTAATCTTTGAACCACGACCTATTTTTCAGTAAGTACAACTTTTTATCTGTGAATATATATGAATTTTCTCAAACAATAAGATAAGTGAAATTTTACGAGTTGACATTTTTGACTTTTTGACTTTTTGACTTTTGAACCTTAGTCTTGGAATCAAAATCAAGAACCCTTGGTACTTAACGAGATTTAAAATCTTACATTGGTCAATGTATTTAGAAAGCGAACGCCTCGATAAGAGATAGCAAGGATTATGTCAGGCGTGACTCTGGTGTCACGACAAGTCTTCTTAAGTTTCTGAATAGATTTCTTGGTAGACTCAGTGCCTCTTAACTCTTTCACAACGGTGGAGCCCAGGTACTGTGTAATTTTGAAAATAATACAAAGATACGCATCTTTTATTTATGTAAATGGCTAAACTTAATAAAAGTATATTATATGTATAAACAATTGAACTTACGTTGGCGACGTAAGTGACGCAACCAGTGACTAGAGCCTTGGGTTGATGCCTCCATTGCGTTTTCAAGGTAGATGGTACACCAAATAATAGTTCCGAGGGTGCTCTGATTTCGAGCTGTTCAGGAGCAGTAATCGCACCGTTGTGCGAACTTGGTCGCTGAGGTGGTTGTGGAGCTGGTCTGTTTTTGCGATGCCTAAGTGTACCCGTGTTCGTCGAATTTGGCACGGGTACCGGTACACTCCCATTACTTTCTCCCGTTGTTTCCGGCAATTTTTCTCGTATTTCCTCCTTCAGTTGTTGTATGTTTGTTTTCTACGGAAACCAATAACGACGAAACTATCGTCATTTCTACGTTTCCACTTTATTAAAAATACCCCGAACTATCGAAGATAGTTTTTTTTATCGCGCCATTATCGTAAATAAAATTCTAAATATATACGATTTCAATTTGATCTTAAATAAGTCCTTTTTCTTTAATTTATTAAATAAACGTGATGACCAAGTAACAATCATATTTTCATCTATGAATCGTATTGGACGATGTGAGGGGTATAACTCGAAAAGAAAGAAAAAAAAAACAAGTGCGTGTATGAGAGAAGAGAAGAKATCGAAGAACAAGTACCGTCTGAGAATGCATTTCCGTGTGCACTCGATGAGATTTTATTAGATCGCACCTTAATGTAATCGTAGCTAATTGGAGAGGTCGTATCGTAAAGCTTTCGCGTATAATGCGCAAACATGCGTACGCACTCGCGAAGATACAAACGCGTATCGAAGAGCAACCTTTCAGCCTGATCATTCGTGCGATGCTTAATATTTTTTGTTCGGAATCTTCCAGCGTATCAGACGACGTCAGGTATGTATAACCCCTAAAGCACCAGTATGGACCAGTCACCACCACCACCATCCATGAGCCCTTCGTTTCGCGCTCTCTTAATTAGCTCATTAAATTCCTCTAATATCCTTTCGTTGATGGGATTCGATCAACTTACCGACGACCTTCTTCTTCTCGAATTTATCCCTTAACGTGTGATAATCCTAACAAATTGGTCTCTTACGCTTTTCTGCTTGACGATCGACGAATGTCAATCGAATTCGACGCCTCCTACGTTTCGTTGATACCGTGCGCATCGTTCAACGAACCGATCGACCGATTCTCTCTCTCTCTCGTTTTCTTTTTACCTCTCTCTCTCTCTCTCTCTCTCTTTCCCGATTCCACGGCTCGAGTTCTCTTTTAATCACGCTTCCGAATTTTACCATATGAGGAATCCTGCGTCACATTCGTCAATACAATAGATTTTGTTATACGATGTTAGGTATAGATCGTTTGTTTCGAAAAACCGATCTTTCAATCTACAATTAATTTATAGAAATTCTTCACGAATTTATTAAAATCTCTTTTATATTATTTGACTAAATTGTTCATTTATTTCGTTATAGCTAAGTAATAATATTTTCTTTTTTCTTCGAATTATTGAACAAATTTACGTTGATACTTTATTAAATCGTAGTTTAATAAAAAATTATAATATAGTATTGATATGAAAACATATCACTTTTTATCTAATGAACAAATTTTGTCAATAACCTATTTTAAAACTAAAAAGAAATTTTTCAAATTTTGTAACATTCTGATGTTCGGTTGTTTTACCGCAGGTTTTGATAACTTTTCTTAAAGCTATACATAGATACCTTTTAATAAAGGATGCATTTTTGAATACTACTTACAAATAGTAACATATTCACAAAAGTAAATAATTTTGACATAACACACCGAAATAAAAAGCTACTTTCGACACAAGTGACTTAACTACACTACCGACCGAAAGTTTGGTTGTATGTCAACTAAAACTATTTCTTACCATACCATTTATATCTAACCGTAGTAAATGTAAACAATCTACGGTGACATCATCACCTCATTTCGTCGAAGACCTGATACTTGGAAACGAAAATAAAACTAAACGTCGAAGGTATTATAACGTGATAATATCATAAACAGTATTGATTACTAAGAAAGCACAATTATAATCTGAGAAACCGGATGAATATTGAAAATAATAAAGTCGTATAGAAAAAAGGGTGCAATAACAAAAGAATGTTAAAAAAGAATTAAACAAAAGTATATAATGGAAATGCAATAAATGTACATCAATTTTCGACCGGTAGCGTAAATAACGATATTAAACATGTTAAATTAGATTATTCGATGGTAATTTAAAAAAAGCTTGAAAAACAACTCATATATTAAAATAATTTGTAACTTACCAAGGTGTTTAGATCCTTATTAAGATCCTCCAGGTTAGGACCAGTGCCATTCCGCGTTTGAGGTCGAGGATTCGGTCCACTGACCGAAGCCAAAATTCGTTTTCGATGTGCCGGCTTTTGAATTTCTAATACTGCTGCCAACTCGACTTCCCAAATACGACTAACGCGATCCATGTCAGTGTAAAGATGTTTTCTAAAGGTTTCCATATAGTTCTCCATGTGAATGCTTTTCAACCATTCGTCCACGCTTTGACAGTGATTACCGAGACGTTTCTCCACACGTTTATTCAACAAACCAGCGGCGTCTATGATTATCGCACGTTCTTGATCACTATTGATTCCCATGTCTCTCAAGTCGGACTCATCCAGAACTCCATTCTTCAAATATAAGATTGAAATATTTAAATGAACAAACTTTTAAGAATATATACTATATACATACATATTTAAATACTTACTATAAACTCGAGATCATCAAAACCGTAGTCTATGAAAAGAGATTCGTAATCAGCGAGTCCTAAACTCGCTAACCATTGACCAATCGACGTGGAAACAATAGGACTACTGCTAGTATCAGAACTTAAACCTAGAAATAAGAAAATGAAAAATATATTCGACTATTATCATAATATTTTATCCATAAATAGATAGAATAGAATTAATTTATAATTTAAAATAATTAAAGTTCTGTATTAATCTTAAAAATGAATCATATGATTACCTAATCTCGTTTGGAATTCTTTTTCAAGTTCTGTAACAAAAACCGATTCTCGAACGAGTCCCGTACCGAAAGATGCCATTATCTCAGAAATTTTAGCCCATTCTTCTTGTTCATCGAAAGGACTCATTATGCTAAGAGATTTTTCGTCTCTCTCCCGATCCCTATCCGATAATCGGAAATTTACTTCGTCGTCTTCTGGACGCTCTCCACCACCACCTCCGCCACCCTCCCCGCCGGTTCCTATTCCGCATGCAGATTGTCCGTAAACGTTCCGCAAGCGGCGCAATGTACGCGGCCGCTCCGCCGTGACGGAACCCTTTAACAAACCTGTTGATAAGCACAACAAATAAAAATGAGTTGATGGATGATGATTGAGGAATTCCCAAATGTGATTTTTTTTGCCTTTTTTTTGGATTTTACTTTTCTATGAACAACTAACAATTTGAAAAACTTCATATTATTATATTTCACCGTTCCAATCATTGTTCTATTTATTGGTATTTATAAATTAAATTTAGAGATACAGAATAATAGAATAAAAAAATCGAATTTATTATGAATAATGGAATGAGAAAAGAAAATGTCATGAATTAATAAAAAGATATAGCTTCCATATCATTGATCGTGAATCTTATTATTCAATCGATAAATGTTTTCTAATACTTATTTAATAACCATAACTCACATACATAATTCATATATGCAACATTTACAATAACATTTATTGATAAATATCATACTTTAGACATAAGATAATCATCATTCGATGAGCACAAAAAATTATTATAACATTTAGAAAAAAAAACGAAACTTGACACACAAGAAGTACAATTCAAAAACATGATATAATCGTCAAAAGAATTTATCATTTATTATTTTCTCAAATGACGAAAAATTAAGTAAGTATTTCGAGAGAGAGAAAAAAACGGAAAAGATTAAATCCTATGTTGTAGATATACAACATGTTCGATCAATGTTTCGATCAAATACGAACAATACATATGTTCATACTTGTGTTCTCACAGTGGAAAACGAATACGGATAAAAGGACGTCACACAGAAAAAATTTGTTTGAAGCCCGACGTCCCGTAAAAAAAAGGGAGAGAAAGAGAATGTAAGAGAAAAAAAGAAAACGTTTCCGAGGGTCGAATGATTTACAGATACCAACATTTTTTTCCCTCTTTTTCTTGTCGGTCATTGGACAAGAATTTTCAAAAATATATAGATAGATATATAAAAATGTATATACCTAAAGACTCATACGCGCATACAAAATTACTCACAGTTGAGATGATACAGCTCTGTTAAAATCATACTCGTGAAAGAATGCAAATAGAAAAGCTTCGTTTTTTAAAATATTATACATATATAGTTTCTTAATGAGTTATAACCAAACTGGATAGTGGAATTAATAAGAAAAATAACGTTTTAAATAAAAATTCTACTGTATGATCATATTCTATCGTCTAATTAATTATTCATTATAAATTTAAAAACTTTACGTTATGTATATTCGTGATGTTTACTACATACCATTAGATAAAAGAAATCAAATGTTCTATCAAGATCGATAAAAACATAATTACAAGCAGAATAAAAATATACTCGAACAGGAAAATATTGCAAAGTTTACTTGGAAGTTTTTGTGTGTACAATAAAAAGAAAAAGATAT